AGAGGCGGCGGAGACCAACATACAAGGAGGACCCTCCGCTCCTGCCTACCCACTCCTCGGCCGCGCCTCGACGCACTTGAGGGCGTCGGGCGGCGGGCGGGGCCGCGGTGGGTGCGGGGGCGCACCAGCCATTAGCTGGTCGGCCTGGACAGTGCCGACGGCCATGCACACGTCGCGAGCAGTTCTTTCATTCGAGGAATGAGCGAGAGGAGCAGGAGGAGAAGGAGGAGGAGGAGGAGGGGGAAGCAGCAGACACTGAGGATGATCAGAAGTCGCGGTATCCACCTCATGAGAGACTATCTGGGGCCCCCTCCGCGCAGACGACGAAGTACCAGCATTCCCAACAGACCAAATCTGAGACCCTCTCTGCACTGAAGACTAAGTACCAGCATTCCCAAGAGACAAGACCTGAGACCCCCTCTGCGATGAAGACCCCGTCGAAATAGAGGACGCGATATCACCGCCAGAAATCAACGCCAGGACCCGCGTCCGAGACGGCACCGTATCAACGCCAGAAATCAACGCCACGGGGATATTGAACGAACCATTTCCAAGACAGGTACTCCTCGACGCAAGCATTGTGATCTGTGAGCACGAGACAATGAATCTCGAAGCTGACGGGGGAGTCGACGCCGAGCGGGCAACCACCCTGGGGACGTGGATAGCACTTGCCCACAGGTCGATCTGCGCATCACACGTGAGCGCACAGGATGATATACAAAACGAACTCTGACAGGGCTGGAGACCCCCAGACACAAGAGGAAGCACCATGCCAGCACCCCACGTCAGAACCTGCGTAGCAGTCTGCGACGCCGAGATGTCATCCCAGTCAGAAAGACGACCGACTCGTTCGGGAGTAGCGATCAACGCTGCAGGAGTGGAAGGGACATAGATCCATGAACACAACACTACCAGATGCATCACTCGCAGCTTCCGCCTCGTCTGACACGCACTCTGCTGGGGCCGGGCGAGGGGCCAGACAGGGGGCTATCAGGATGTACAGGTCGCTGACGCTCGCACGCAACAACAATGGCAGGGGCGGCCCCCTGAATATCCGCTCGAGCCTCTGGTAGGACAGCGTGGGCACAGCATACTTCAGTTCCAGCCTCCTCCCCCAACCTTGAGTCGGAGTCAGACGCAGAAGAGGAAAAGCTCGAGGAAGAAGAAGAAGAAGAAGAAGAAGAAGACGGTCTCCCATGTTGCGCAAAGTCAGTCGGGGCCAGCCCCGCCGCAAGCTCGGCCGACTGGTCCTTCGGAGCCGCCAGCCGCATCGCACGGGCTCCAGCAAGTGCACAGCTGTAGACCTGATCAACCGATAAAGGCCAGTGAACAACCAGCCTAGCTTCATTGCACGTTGCATACAGCACCGCAAGGTAGGCGTAGGACTCGACCCCAAGCGGGCAGAGACCCAATCGTTCAAGAACTGGAAGTGGGAATGGTCGTGCCAGCGCCCTGCGGATGGCGACGCGTAGGGGGCGGCAATAAAGGTGGCGTCGGAGAGCATCGGGAGCTGCGGCGCAGCCGAAGGCGCACCCGCGCTGGCCCGCGGGGTGGGCGATGCGCCTAGACGTCAGCCACGCATCCAACCAGTTTCTCACAGTCGCCCAAGCCCAAGAGCATGGGCACCTCGCCATCGACGCCCGCACGCCGCCCCAACCCACCGTGGCCAGAGCCTCCCTGTGTCGAGGGAGAAGCTTGCACAAACGAGTCGTGAACAGCACCGCGAGGGGGGCATCCACCAGCATGCCGCACGAAGCGCGCGATGCGCAGCGCGCTGTGGTCGCGGGCGCTGGCGGTCAGGTGGTGGGAGCGCCTCCAGCGCAGATGGCAACGCAACCCGCAAGTGTCGGGCGAGGACGGCCGTAGGAGCCCGCGACAAAGTGGCACCCCCCAGCGTCTCCACGAAGGCAGGCGCCCGCCAGAAGTCTGGGCAAGGAGCACCACTGCCGACCATGTCAAGCGAGTGCCAGGTAGGGCGAAGCGCAGCATGCTGTCGCAGGGGTGCCAATATGCCCGTACGTTGCGGGACCGTGGGGATGGCCAAGAGCACCAGCGACGCCGTGTTCAGATGGCCCCACCTCAAGATCTTCGGACAGCTCCAGCAATCCAGTTGCGACCAACTGTCAAGCTTGAACGCGCCCAGCGGGACGCGGAAGACCTGTGCCAAGACGGAGAGCTCGAGCCGAAGCAGCGACAACCGCAGCCAGCAGAACTGAAAGACATTTGGCAGCGTGCTGACGGCCCGCTAATTATACTAGATGGCCGAAATCCTGACTAGTTTAACTCCCTGTGCAATGGCCAAGGCTCGGAGACGTAGCTTCGCAATCGGGTTGACCCAGCACCGATCATTACCAGCTGCAGGGCCTAGCCAGAGGCCGAGATAGAGGAGCTCAGGGACCACCGCAAAAGAGGACCAACACGGGATCCAGAGCTTGATGGCCGCCTTGACCTGCTCACATAGGACGGGGGAGAAGCGGTTGGCGAGCGGCACGACCTTACATCTAGCCACCTTTAAGCACAAGTTGGCGAGCCGCTCCGCGCGCGACATGACCCAATAAACGGGAGCCACGCGTTCAGACCCCTCCGATATCACCAGCACACGCACGTACTATGCCCTTATCGGCCCCATCGATACAGCTAGCCAGGTCTCAGAGGAAAACCGAGGCCCCCAGGGACTAGAGCGATCCAGAAAGAGCGGCCCCTTGAAAGATGCCGCTCCTGACCCAGAAAAGTCACATGAACTCGCCTTGGAGAGAAGCCACCCCTTCTATAGCAGTATACGAGTACCCAATAGAAACCAGTAGCGCCTCAGGCAGGTCCAGGCAGGCAAGGAGGAAGAGGAGGAACTCCTGGTTGAGCGACGGGAACGCCTGTCCAAAATCCAGGAAGAACATAATGGGGTGGAGGCTAACACCTGGCGGGCCAACCGATTGAACGTGAGCTGCAGCGTCCAACTCCAGCACATCGAAGCCGAACTTCCTCTTGGGCACGAAGCCCCTTTGGCAAGATGGAACAGCCGCTTCCACAATGGGCCTGGTCGCATAGTTTATCACAGTCGATTATAGATTGGTATCTGCGCTACGAAGACCAAGCCCCTATGCTCGGCATCAGAAATGCACGTTGGATGACATGCCTGCATCGTCGCGTTCACACCATCGAACAACACCTGCCCGTCACATATCCACTCGGAACTGCCCCACAAGATTTTCGCCCCCATGGGCCCCGCCAACCACGCAGCAGGGAACCCCATCTAGCCCAGGCGGGGGATCACGAGCAAGACGAAGCACGCGACGCAGGCGATGGGGAGACGGAGGAGGAATAGAAATATCGTCGATAGCGGGAAGCCACCGACGCACATGCTCCGAGGCCAGCTGTTGATCCCACTCCATCTTAGCGAAAACAGGGCCCCAATACTCGCTCTGAGCACGCAGCTTCTCACCCGGCTCCGAGACGACCCGGCCTGGAGACCCCCGAACTCGAGACAAGGAGAGGCGTCGGCAGAAAGGCGACCACATGCGAGCCCGACGCCCAAGTGCGCGAAGCTGCAGGCGCACCGAGCTCGATGAGGCCCCAGGCGAGACACGATTTGCCGAAAGCGATGCCCGCTCAATATCCAAGACATCACGCTGCACACGCGCACGCCACTGCTGTAGCGATGGAGGACGAAGAAGAACAGGATGCCCACCAACGACAGAGAGATGATCCCCAGCGGCAGGATGGCAGGCAAGAAGACGATAACCCAATGCGACATCCTGACGCCAGACAATGCGAGCGATCATCCTGGAGACCTGGAGGAGGGTCTTGGGGTGGTTCGGGGCGGACGTGAAGAGCTGGTCCCTCGTCTCGCGGCCCGCTATCTCGAGGAGGGTCTCATAGTGCTCCAACTGGAACGAGGGCGACATGAAGTTCCACGACGTGTCCCGCTCGAGGCCTTTCAATCGAGTCTGAAACGCAGGGCCCTGACAGCTAGACTTAGGAAGGCACCGCCGCTCAGGGAGACGGGCCATCTTGGGAGCGAGGGAAACGACGACAGCAGCATGATCCGATATCATTTTGTCCGAGACCGGGCTGGGGGCGTCGATCGTCGAGGCGAGCACGATGAGCTGGCAAGCTTGCCACTCGGCAGCGAGCAGAAGACGAGGTCGATCGCCGCCTCGCCGTTCGCATGGCGGTCGAAATTCGTCGGGGACGCGCACTCCAGCTCGAGCATGTCCCCCAGCGCCTGCTTCCACACCGCCGCCCTGCCATGGCGACGGCGTTCCGACTGCTTCAACGCCGCGACGGGCGAGTCCAGCACGAGAGCCCCCTCATTCGCAAAATTGGAATCCCCCAGAACCAGCACGAGGACCTGGTTGGGCGCCTGGGCAGCTCGGGCACAATCTTGACGGATCACGCGAACAACACCACGAACCACAGAGGCGTCGAGCTCATGGTTGCATACTGTGTACATTGGAAATGATGAGATCAGCCCCATCAGTAGCATGAACAGCGACTCGAAGAACACAACCTGGCACCCGAGCTTGCGACTAGACCCGAGTCCCCCCCCCTCTCGACACCAGGCACCCCAGGAAGCAAAACTGCGACTCCACCACAGATGCGCGAGTCCCCAAAAGATGACTCAACATGAACAGAGGGGTCGATGGTGCGGACGAAAGCTCGAAGTTGACCCTCGTCTTGTCGTACCCCTTGTAGAGCAACCACCGTCTCTCTCAGCTTGAGACGCGAAAGATAACTCCTCTTCAGGCTAGCCTTCTGCCCAGCAGCCTGCCGGAGCGATCGACAGTTCCACGTAGCAAAGCGTAATGAGCGAGGTCTCTGACCACGCCGCTGCGCAGTGTGCCTGAACATCTTCCAGACATCAAAGGCACCACTGTTCCTCCGCTTCAGTCTCCACCAAACGCGTGATGAATCGCCTAAGGAGGTAGATATCCATGTTGTGCTTCGCGATGCGGGTAGCCTCCCACTTGAGCTGAGCGTCATCAGGAGCAGCGGAAGGTCACCTCGATCTTGAGAATCTTATCCCATCCCACCATGAGCACTCCACGTTCACGATCCGTGAACAACTTCGCCGAAGGGTACTGTTCCGACATCTCATGTCGACACCGCCTGAGAAGGATCTCAATGCGAATCTGCTTCGGGCTCTTGTCAGGCCCCAAGAAGAGCCTGCAATCTGGGCCGCCAGAGACACCAACCGTGAACTCTTTCCCATGCTTCCCGTCCCTGAGGCCCGCCAACGCCTTGGAGACCTTCCGCGCCGCCGGCGCAGGTGGGCCGTTGAAGGAGAGCAAGCAACGGCGGGCAGGCTCAACACCCACAACGGCGATGTCATACTCCTGCGGGTCAAACCCCAAACCACACAGCCACGGCTGCAGTGATTCACGAACATGAGCAACCGTCGTACTCTTCTGTGCCATCGCGACGACGACTGTCGGGCCAGGCTCCCTGTCGAAGCCAGATGGGACCCGAGTTGGGTCGCCTGATGCGCCAACGCCAAGGCATGCTCCATCTCCGCCATCCTGGTCTGCAGAGCCTGCAACTGGGAATCATGTTCACCGAGAGGGGCCGTATTCGCATCGATGCGCGCGCGCTGCTCGTCCAGCTGGTTTTGGAGACGACGGGATGCAACATCCACCTGAGGCCGTACCACAGACATAATTTTGTCGTCCATGACGCGCTGGTTGTCGGCCACGACCTTGCGGACCCCATCCAGCAGCTCAAGGACAGACTTGTTCCCATCGGCCACCGACTCCGAGACAGACTTACCCAGCTCGACTTTGACATCAACCTTCCACTGCTCGACAAGGGGGAGGAGCACGGACTTGCAGAGCTCACGCATGTAGTCCTCACTCCAGTGATCATCTCCACCATCATCGACAATCTCGACATCTCCTCCGAGGGGGTGCGGCGCTTGCAGGGCGGGAGACCAGCGGGACGGCAAGAGCCAGCAGCGCCACCAGAGCCCTTACCCCCTTTGCCAGCGCCCACGCCAACCTCCTGCGACGGGAACGTTGCAGCCTGATCATGAGCGGCGATGAAAGCATCCTGCGCTGCCTGGTCTGGCAAGCCCATCGGCGAAACAGGACTGTCGGCAGGCACTCCAGGCCCCAAGCAACGTAAGGCCGTCGCCACAGTAAGGGGAATGGGATAGATAGCAAGGGAGAAAGAAAACCTGCTGTGGGGCAGCTCGCCTCGGGCCAGCCCCTCGGCTGCAGGCAAGTACGAAGCCGCAGGGCCACGGTTTCGTACTTGAGCCAAAATGGCTACGGAGGAGGAGGCGGAGGAGGAGGCGGAGGAGGAGGCGGAGGCGGAGGAGGAGGCGGAGGAGGCGGCGGAGGCGGAGGAGGAGGCGGAGGCGGAGGCGGAGGAGAGGGAGCATCGGGGCACGGCCGTGGCCACGAAGACGCACGCGGCGCGCCGCCGAAGAGGACATCGCCGGAGGTCCGGCGGCCTGGGGCCGACCCTCGAGGCCGGGCCCGGGGAGGGGGAGGCCCCGCCTGCTGCTGCAGCGACCTCTGCCCGCGGGCGCCCGGGCGGGTGCCGCCCGCGGCTGCAGCGCGACCCGCCAGCAGCAGTGCGGCCAGCCTGCTGCGTTTTGTGCTCCTACTTCTACGAAGCATGACGAGGGGGGGAGGAACCAGGTTCGGCGTTCCGGGCTCGAGCAAGGTTTTGCCCTTTTCGGCCTCCCGGGCCCGCTTCCGGACCCTGAGACCGTTCAAAACGGATCTGGGGGAGAATCACTAACCAGATGGACTCCGGTCGGGGTCCGAAGACCGAGTTAGACCATACATTATGCTGAGAAAAGGGGCGTCGCTCCAAGCGTTTTCTCAAACAGCAGTCCAGGCCCAGATATTCGAGAGTTCTACGAAAAAGTCACTCCAAGAAACCGCCCAAGGTCCAGTCCAGAGCAATCAAGTTCTCAGGCGACATGTAGAATACATGAGAACTGCTGCCTGTCCTCAAGAGTTCTGCTGAGTGTACGAGACACGACGCCCACTTCACCCCATGGGCGCAGACCTCACGGCAGCCCCAGACGCACCAAGCCCTGCGAGTGCGAGAGCATCTGCCTTCGGCGGGAAGGCCCGCACGCAGATGGGACAGGGAAGCACGACGCACGCCCAGCAGCCGACAGGCCAGCGCACAGGCCAGCCTGTGATTTGGTCTGCCTGCTAGGGGTGAGGTGCCAGGAGGCTTGAACACACACCCAGACCTCCAGCGTATGGAACAGGGAAAACTTACGCACGGAGGTTTGAATCGTCGTTTTCGTCGTCTATGGGCCCTTGCCGGGCCCGGGGACCTTCAGAAAACCACCCAGGTCGAAAGAACGGTCGGTCCACAGGAAGTGGTCCAGAGCTCTTGGGGACCCCGTATCTCCAGACATGCGACGTTCTGAAGTTTTCAATACGGGGCTCCTGGAAGTCCCAACCCTTTCCCCGAGACCATCCTGAGTCGTATCTTGACTGCCCCGAGGCCGGCGGGGGCTCCAAGGGCCCGAAAACGGCCGAAAACTTCCCGCCCTGATTGTTGTACCACGCGATCATGTCTGGGCCGAAAGATCTCGATTCCGGCGCTGCTCGCAGGGGGGCGGAGCGCGCGGGGCACACGCCCAGTGCTCTCCGTCGGAGCGACCCTCGAGAGCGACGTCGCCTTCAGCTGGCTCTGGACCTCCTGGATCGCCCTCCTCCTCCTCCGCTCCGACGCCTCCCCCTGCATGGCTTTCGCCTGGGGTGCAACGTAGACCTCGCCAATCCCTGGCGGGCTGCAAACTGTGAAGTTCTCACAATTTTTAGGGGTTGCTTGGCACAGGTTAGACCTCGCCACCGCTGCGGGGTCTGCGGGGTCCACTCCGGAGCCCCAGGTCTGGCAGGGACCAGTACGTCCCCCCCAAACATTGGCGGCGCGCAGGGGGTGGGGCAGGGGGGGAGAGGCGAAGGCTTCTTAGAGAAGGAGGCTACTTTCAGGTCGGGCATGTCCCCATACAGGCGGACTTTGAACGAAAAATGAACACCGTTCAAACGAATGTTCAAAAATAGTCAAAAGAATACTCATAAAATCGTCCCCAGACTATTTCTTGACTAGTTTTGACTATTCCCTCTTAGAGGGACAAGCCCGACTTGAGGCTACTTCTTGGAAGGCGCCGGCCCCACTTCTACAGACAAGGCCCGCGCCTGCTAAGAAGCAGCCGAATTGTGAGAAGCATTCCCCCCCTGCCCCCCTCCGCGCGTGGCCGGCAAAAGCCCGCCACGGCAATTCCTGTGTGATCACGCGCGCAGGCGCCGAAAACAGCGCGTAGGCAAGACAACACCCGCAAACGAGCCAGAAATCAGACACGCCAAAAGAGTGCCAGCGCTGGAAGAAGGGAGAAGGAGGAGGAGAAGGAGGAGGAGGAGGAGGAGAAGGAGGAGGAGGGGGCCGGAAGGAGAGGGGGAGGCGGAGGAGGAGAGAGAGGGGAGAGAGGAGGGGACGGCGTGATCTCAGTCGGCCGAAATTTCGGCCAGCGCCCACATGCGGCGGAACACGCGGAGTCCGCCAGCTGGATACGCGTGTCGAGGATCGTGCCTGGCCATACGGCGCCCGAGCGCTGGACAGACATCTGGCCACGTGTGTGTCCGGCTCCCGCCCAGGCCCGCCGCGCCGTGCGTATGGCAACTACTCGCAAATGGCCTGGATCCGCCGCGGGGGATTTACGATACATCACGTCGAGGCAACAAACTATTTTTCGGGCGTTTGCGAGTAGGCACTTTGCGAGTAGTGGAACGCGCTCGGTGAGGTTAAGGAATCGTTGGGTAAGGAGTCCAAGGTCTTGAGGCCCGTGGACCTCCGATCGTAGATTCGCCATGGATGTCACCGCCTCCCTCATCGGATACGCAGCCCTCCAGGGTCTGAAGCCTCCTGGGCACATTCCTGAACGCATACCCCCACCACACAGCTTACGGGTGAACGCACACGATAAGAAATCCCGCCAAAAGAAATCGACGGAAACGGTGGTCCACGACCTCTGAGGTTACTAAGCTGACTCCAAGGATTCTCCTGGTCCCCGGTGCCGTCGGGGAGTCATAGATCTCCAAGGGGCACCCGCTGGCACGATGCATCAGCGATGCGTCGCCGATGCATCGCCGATGCAGCAGCAGTCAGCGATGCATCGGCGCCGTCGGCGTGGAGAAAGTCGGGCTCCACATCCGACAGCCTCGCCGATGTATCAGCGATGCGGCGCGACCCTCCGATCCCATCTATTCGGACCCCTATCAGGAAGGCCTAGACATCTGCAGCTTACCCTCCCGTCCCCAATCCCTGCGTTTCGAAAGCTAGTCATCTTCAACCTTCGCTGGAAATACTCGAGCGGCACGGCCACACAACAAAACAAACGGCAGGAAGTGTTTTGCCATTTTCACCCTCGCTTGGGACACTCGCCAGGCCCCAGGACCATCAAGAAACAACTCGGGACGACAAAACTACCCTGGGGCAAGTGCCTGGACTTCTGGGGACCGCGTATCAAAAGAACCTCATGACGTCTGATCTCTGGGACGGTACGCGCGGAGTGGACTAGCGTCGACAGCAGCGGCACGGCCCAGACATCCTCTCTTTTCCCGAGCCATGCGCCCCTGGGCAGAGTCTGCAAACCCAAAGGCGTCAACCTCCGCGATCGTACGTTTGCTCTGCACTTTCCTGCCGTCGGGGGGTTCGACGAAGAGGTCGCGGCTCTGTGAGATTGCCCCGCCCCGCGGCCTGTGGATCCCGCAGCGGACGGGAGGCAGCCGGCCGCGTTCCGTCTTCATTCAGTCTGCCACCGCGGGCCCGCGCACGCGGGCGGCCGCTGCTGATGGATGGCACATTGCAGGAGCGGTGCCGAAACCAGCGCACGAAATGCACCACGAGGATCGGCAACCGCATGCGCGTGCGCGCGTGCGCCCAAGACTGGCAAGGCCTGTTTCCGCGGCGATTGCCCCCGAAGCTGCACCTGGGGCACCTCAGGCCGTGGCCACGGTAAGCATAATCAACCAAGGAGAGCGGTGATCGATTGAGGAGGCGACTGACGAGATCAAATACAATGGGGGCATGCGTTAAGGAATGTGCCCAGGAGGCTTCAGACCCCTGGAGGATTCCTTATCTGATGAGGGCGGCGGCGAGTTCCATGGCCAATCCACGATTGGAGTTCCACCACCTTCCAGACCCTGGATTGCTTATCCAATCGTTCATGAATCCAACACCCTCACCGTCACGGCAGTCGACTCGAGAGGCAGCTGGGAGAAACAAGGCAAAACATGTGACAATGGCGCTTGGCTGGGCTGCACAAGTGCGCGCGAGAGCACGTGCTCGATATCGGCAGCGGTCGGGGGGGTGAGGCTGGGGAACGCGAGCTCCTCCTCCTCCTCCTCCTCCTCCTCCTCCTCCTCCTCCTCCTCCTCCTCCTCCTCCTCGTCCTCCTCCTTCTCCATTCCGTCTCATTATCAATAATTTCTCCCTGTCGCACCCGGAGGCCAGCTTTTAGGGCGGGCAGGGCGTTTCGCCTGAGACTTCCGCACCACTTATGACCCTGAAGCTTCCAAATTGGCAACAGCTTCACAGATGGAGGGCGGGTGGTTTTCAAAATGTGGCTCTCGCCTCAGCGCCGCCCACATTCGTTTAAAAAGTTTGCTAGAGCTTCACGGGTTGAAGGGGACCCGTCTTCAAAATGTGGCTCTCGCCTTAGCACCGCGCACAATCGTTTAAACAATGTGCAACAGCTTCACGGATTGAGGGGACGCCGTTTTCAAAATGTGCCCCTCGCATTAGCACCACGAACATGTACGGATTGAGGGAAACCCGTAATCAAAATGTGGTTCTCGCCTTAGCGCCGCGAACATTCGTTTAAACAAGATGCAGGTGTTCCAAGTATTTCCATGATCAACATATCAGAAATGGCGTTTTGGAAGGATTCAGGATTATGAGGGTGCAACAGGTACGTTCACTCGCGGTGTTGACGTCCCAAGCATGGCGTTCTGGCACGGTTCAAGATCGTCGAAACGCAAACGTCAAGTTGATCCATGGCGTTGGAATCCCAGGAACAATGCTTTGACATGCTTCAGGGTCTTCAAACGATTGTCTTCCAACGAGGCAGTTCCCTCAATGGAAATGAACCTGTATGGGGCCTACGAAGAAGGAGCTTGGAGGGAGGGTTTATTCCAACATCGTTGATGACTCTTGAGGTTACACTGGTCCTACTCTTCATCCTTATCCTCCTCCTCCTCCTCCTTTTCGCTATGTTCCTCCTCCTCCTCCTCCTCATGCTGCAGCTGGCACTGCTGAAGGGATGACTCCGAAGCAATCACGTAAATTGGCAAAAAAAAAAAAAAAAAAAAAAAAAAAAAAAAAAAAAAAAAAAAAAAAAAAACGACAGGAAGCAACGCAGCTCATGATGTCGCGGCACATCCCAACGCACAATCATGCTTCTGAAATCGGCATGGGGTCCTGGGGGATGAGAAAGCCTTTGGCCGCCTCAACTACCTCATCCTCAGGTTGGCCCCCTTTGGACCCCAGCAGGAGAATCCTACAGGAAACCTGCCGCGAGGAACCTACACAAAGCCGATGGGTAGGCTTTGAGAAAAGAAGTGCGATACCATCCCGACCCATCCCTCCCCACAGCCGCCGGGCGTCTTCTGGGATGCTGACACCGCCCCGCCCCCTGCCAACAAACAAAAAAATCGAGGAAGCGAATGGACGTGGATACCGAGTAACCTGGTCGGCGCAAGATGGAGAGATCCAAACATGCACTGGTCGAGACGGATGGAGCAGGCGGAGGCAAGGGACGCAACCCACATGAGCTCGGGAAAATCTCCCACATGAGGGTGAATCCGCTCTCCACGACACCTCGGGGTGTTCCATGATCGCACAGGTGCTTGTGAGATGGGCGCTCACCAGGAAGTGGGCCGTGGAGAGCAGCGCAGGAGCCCACTCCCAACGGAGACCTGTCCCCTCTCTCGGGGGCGCGCAAACCTGGATTAGCGATCCATGGATTTGGCGCGCGGTCGCCAAATCCATGGTTCGGGGGAGGTCCCCCCCCACCATAAACACCGAATCAGGGCCCGGTGAGATCTGCATGGAGCGGAGCACGCTCAGCCTCTGCGAGCCCAAGAGCACGCGAAAGGCCGATGGCGGTCGGGCCACTGTCCGCCCTGGGCTCTGGACGCGACTGCACACAGCCGTCCTGAGACGTCACGCGCGGGGCGGCGGGCTCCACGACCAGCCAATCACTGGAATCGGGCCCGCCTGCCCGCGGACCCACTCCCAAGGAAATACACCAACGGTCAGAGCCAGGCGAGGGCGATTCGGACACCACCTCCCACCCATCAGAAGATGCCTCGCCCGCCACTGCCGGAGGCACCTGCACGCAAGGTCCGGAGGCCCAGGGCCCCTGGCGACAGGAGGACGGGGGCGCCTCGCTGGGGGCCTCCCCAGTTCTGAAAATCTCAGACGTCCCATCACTGCCCGTGGCCGGTGCGCTGGGCCCCACGCCTACCTGCGCGACAAGGGCGCTCGTGCTCGAAGCCCCACAACAGAAACTCCCAGGTGGCACGGGCTTGCAGGGGCCGACAGGCGTCAGCTGCGCTGCCGTCACACGTAGCACGCACCCCACCCCAGGGCGCCCCCCAGCCCACATCCCGCCCACAACACCCCCTAAACAGCAGAGCCGTGGTCTCCCACTCTCGGCCGAGACACAGAGCAGGGTTCCGACAGGGCCCGGGGAAACCTGTCTCGGCTCCTTGAGTCGTGGCTCCTGGACAAAAGGTCCCCAGGACAGAGGCTGGCTTGGCTTGCTCACGGTGGCCTTCCGCGCCTGGGCTTAAGCTACTACGCATCTGAAAAAAACAGGGCGGCCTTGGAGTCGACGGCTTCACCGATGCTGCCGCGAAACTCAACCCCCCCTCCAGCAATCCCCCAAGTCTGGAACCTTCCTTCGCCCACACCAGGCTGGCCACAGGCCCTCCCACGTGCTGAAGCAGCGTTGGGGGCGCCTTCGGTCTAGGGGTCTCCGCCATCTCAGGGGCTAACTAGGAAGGGCAAGAGTGCGTCGTGCCCGTAGCACCCGGAGTCGCCCCCCAAGGAATGACCTGGCTCTCGCCATGGCTGTCGCGCCCGCCCACGGCAAAGGAATCAGAGCTAGCTGCCCCGTGCTCTGAAGGATGCCCGAGGCAACAACTGCCCCAACACTCGCTGCTCAAGGAACGTCCCTCACCCTAGCAATCATTCACATCCCCGACGCAATCACTGGCCGCAGGGCTGCTGCATTCGAACTGCCGCACCTTGAGGAGGTGCCCGTGCCATGTCACGCCCCGCCTGGTCAAGCCGGTTCACGGCCGTCGGGTGCCGAGCTCTGGCCCGGCGCTCTGTCCCGGCGGCAAGCGGATCTCGACAGGACATCACGCAAGCTCTTCGTCGATGTTCCTGACCTCGCGCTGCACCTGGCTGCCAGCCGCCATCAGCCCCTCCCGAAGGGGGGTCAGGCACGGGCCCTCGACATGGGACCAGCCCTGCGTCACCACGCCAGCAGGTACCATCGGCGAGATCGAGCTCGGATCGGTCGGCACAGGCGTCTCCTCCGCGGATGCCGCGTTCTGCGGCTGGATGCGCACAGGGGATGCTGGCGCACGCGAGACTGCCATCTGTGGCCCAAGCGTCGGCATACCCATGATTGGCGCCCTCTGGGCTGGAGGCGGCGTCGAATCCGCATGCGCCGGGCTGGCAGGCGCCTTCGAAGACGCCAGCGGGGCACCCATCCTGCCAGACGCCCCGAGGGGAGGCGCCATGGGCATCGGGGCCGCGCCCGCGCCTGCTGCAGACGTTCACGCGTGCAGGGACGGCCCAGTCTCTGTCGCGCAGCTGGGCTGCAAGGTCGCCCCCATCATCTTATCGGCCTTCGCCCGCGCCTCCTCCATGGCATTCGCATGGGCAAGCAGGCCACCGCGGATGAGATTCTGCAACGGCGCATCCCCTTCCACCCGCTGCGGCCAAGTGCACCGCTGGCCTTGCTGGGACCGCCTGGGGAGGCGGCGGCGGCAGAGGCCCTTGCGCTCCTGGATGAAACCCCATAGCTCCCATCACCGACTGCACTGCACGATCCAGTTGCTCCATCCTGGCCATCATCTGCTGCATCATCACTGCCATGGGCTCAGTCGTGGCATGGGTTCCCCCGCAAGCCCCCTGCTGGACCTCGGGGGCCACTGGCTGCCCAGGCCGCAACGGCGGGCGCTGCTGCCAACGCATGGGGCCAGGCTGCGGAGCACCCATTGTCATGTCGTCGTCCTCCTCGCGCCTCTGCTCCTCGAGCTCCGAGAAGTAACGCTTGAGCCTGTCCAGCTCCACCAGGATCTCGCCCTCCTGCGCCCAGTAGGTCGCAATCCTCGCACGCGCGTTTTCAGTTTCTCGGAAGCCGTGTCCCTCTTCACCCTCATCTCTGACAACCTGTAGCTCCGTCGGCATCGTTGCTCACACCATACACCTAAGCGCGCTCAGCTTGGCATCGTACCGGTAGGCGTCGTCGAGTTCATTGGCCCGCCTTGCCATCTCTAGCACCTTGGCTCTGGTCTCGTCCTGGAACCGTTTCTGCAAGAGCACATCTCCCTGAGGGGCCTCCTGGTGAGTCTGGTATTCCGCCGCCTCGTGACGAGTCATGGGGGCGATCTTCGCAACGTACAGCTTGGCCTCTTTGTCTGGCATCGGCTTCTCTCGACGGCGACTCTCGCTCCTGCGACGGGCATCCGCCCGCGCCTGGTCCGCCCTCTTTTCCGCCCTCGGCTGATGCGCCCTCGACGAGACCTTCAGCACACGGTCCACGACCAGGAACGCCGACGGCTGGCCTCCGCCGAGACGATGCTCGAAGGGTTCCCCACAGAGGCCACGCGAGTGGTGGGCCTTCATGTACCTCCCGCACGGACAGTCTCAGACGCCCTCATTCCTGGTCATGGCTCCCTGGCTTCTCCGTTGCGGCGAAGGGTGACCAAAAGCTGCCTCGCACTGTTGAGGGAGAGGGGAAGGCGAGCCGCGCGCCGCTGGGCACGCCGCCCGCGGCACCAAGGAGGCACTTTCTCGGGGCGCGAAATCGCGGCGCTGCCGAGGCGCACGCCCGAGGGTCGGCCCGGCCGAAAAGCGGGTCCCTGCCACCTGAGGACCGGGCCGCTCGGGCCAAACTCCTCCTCCTCCTCCTCCTCCTCCTCCTCCTCCTCCTCCTCCTGCTCCTCCTCCTCCTCCTCCTCCTCCTCCTCCTCCTCCTCCTCCTCCTCCTCCTTGTTTTCCTCGTCCTCGTCGTCCTCCTCCTCCTCCTCCTCCTCCTCCTCGGCCTCCTCCCCGTCCTCCTCCTCCTGCTTTTCCTCCTCCTCCTCCTCCTGCTCATCATCATCATCATAATCCTCCTCATCCTCCTCCTCCACCTCTTCATTGACGTCCTCCTCCTGGTCCCCTCCTCCTCCTGCCCCCCCTCCTGCTCCTCATAATCCTCTTCCTCGTCTTCTATTATTCATATTCTTGTGCATAGGATTCACTTGTGGGATAGCTGTATTAGTATGTATTGGTATGCTTAGTAATGTTATAATATCATCAGTAGTGTTATCTGTGCTGATACCAATCATACTATTATATGATTGTCATTAGTATGGGCATTAGCATTACACATAGTAGCATCAGTATTACTAGTACAAATATTTTTGCAAAATAATATTCGTAGTAGCATGATTAGTGTTACGAGTGGAAGAAGTAATACTATTTGTTTTAAGCTTATCAACCTGATGAGTGGAGGTAGTACGATGAGTAGCACTGGTATTGGTAGTAGCGCTAGTAGTAGTAGTAGTAGTAGTAGTAGTAGTAGTAGTAGTAGTAGTAGTAGTAGAAGTAGTAGTAGTAGTAGTAGTAGTAGTAGTAAAAGTAGTAGTAGTAGTAGTAGTAGTAGTAGTAGTAGTAGTATAGTAAGTAGCTAGTTCAGTAGTAGTATATTATTAACTAAGTTAGTAGTAGTAGTAGTAGTATGTAGTAGTCGTCGTCGTAGTAGTAGTCGTAGTAGTAGTAGTATAAAGTAGAAAAAAAATGAGCTCTAGGAGGTATAGTATAGTAGTTTTGTCCAAAAGTCGTAGTAAGTAGTAGTAAGTATTAGTAGGAGTAGTAGTAGTATTAAGTAGTAGCAGTAGTAGTAGTAGTGGTAGTAGTAGTAGAAGTAGTACTGGTAGTAGTAGTAGTAGTAGTAGTAGTAGTAGTAGTAGTAGTAGTAGCAGTAGTAGTAGTAGTAGCAGCAGTCGTCGCAGTAGTAGTAGCGTATCCTTCGTATTACTATGATCGATACTGCTCCCAAAACTATGCAAAGTGTTACTACTGATCCTACGACTACTCCTACGACTGCTACATCTACCACCACTACTACTACTACTACTACTACTACTACTACTACTACTACTACCTCTACTAATATTATTCGTAGTACTCGTAGCATGCGGAATATCATTATTTTCCGTATGGTTACTATGGCTATAACTATTAATACAATTGGCATGCTCCTTCGTAGTGCGACCACTATCACTGTTATCATGGAATTATAATATCAATACTGTTTATATGACTACTACTCTGATAATATTCCCCCTCTCTCTCTTCACATTGCGGGACGCTGCGACGAGCGCACACCCTACCTGCCCACAACCGCAAAGGCACCCTCTCACCCAATAGCGTCGTGATTAAGAGCGCCAGAGCCCAATCCATAGACATCGCTTCTGCCAGAAAAGATGATTCCAAATGCCTCAAGTGCTTGCTTGCCTGGAAAAAGAGTCACCCCTGATTGGGATGCGGGTTTGCATATACAGTCATGCCGTAAGCATATTACTAGTGGTGTTTCTTTTTAATATTCCCCCTGCTTCTCCTTGTCTTCGTCCTCCTCCTACCCCTGCATTCCTTTGCCTCATAGATAACTCCTCCCTGTCACACCCCGAGGCTGGTCGAAAGAGCGGGCCGGGAGTTTCGCCTGAGATTTCCTCACCATGTACGACCCTGCGGGTTAAAAATTAGCAAACGCTTCACAGATGGAGAGCGGGTGGTTTCCACTATGTAGCTCTCGCCCTAGCGCCGCGCACACTCGTCTTACGCACTTGCAGAAGTTTTACGGATTCAGGGCGGGCGGTTTTCAAAATGTGGTTCTCGCCCTAACGCGGCGCCCATTCGTCTTGCAACATGACAAGAGCTTCACGGCTGGAGGGCGGTCGTTTTCAAAATGTGGTTCTCGCCTTAGCGCCGTGCACCTTCCTCTTGTAAATTTGCCAGAGTTTGACGGATTCTCATGGTCAGCGTACCAGCAATGGCGTTCTGCAAGGATGCAGCACTGTGAGGGTGCAACAATTACAGTACGTTAACTCGCGACGCTGAGGTCCAAGCAAGGGCGTTCTGGCACGATTTAGGACCGTCAAGACGCAACAGTCAAGTCGATCCGTGGCGTTGGGGTCCTGAAAATAGTTTTTGATGCTTCAGGGTCTTCAAGAGTTGTCTCCCAACGAGGCAGTTCCCTCAGTGGAAATCAACCATTGTATGGGGCGTCTAACATTGGAGCGTGGCGGGAGGGTTGATTCCATCATCGTCAATGGGTCTTGGGTTTACACGGTTACTCCTCCTCCTCCTCCTCCGCCGCCTGCTTCTTCTCCTCCTCCTCATCCTCTCCTCTCTTCTCTTCCTCCTCCTCCTCCTCTTCCTCCTCCTCATCCTCCTCCTCCTCATCCTCCTCTTCCTCCTCCTCCTCCTCCGCCTCCTCCTCCTCCTCCTCCTGCTCCTGGTCCTACTCCTGCTCCTGCTCCTGCTCCTGCTCCTGTTCCTGCTCCTCCTCCTCCTCCTCCTCCTCCTCCTCTTCCTCCTCCTGCTCCTCCTCCTCCTCCGCCTCCTCCTCCGCCTCCTCCTCCTCCTCATCCTTGTCCTCCTCCCCCTTCCTTCTCCTCCTCCTCCTCATCCTCCTCCTCCTCCTCCTCCTCCTCATCCTTCTCCTCCTCCTCCTCCCCTTCCTCCTCCGCCTCCGCCTCGCTCCTCCGTCTCCGCCTCCTCCCTCCTCCTCCTCCTCCTCCTCCTCCTCCTCCTCCTCCTCCTCCTCCTACTCCTCCTCCGCCTCCTCCTCCCCTCCTCCTCCTCCTCTTCCTCCTCCCCTCCTCCTCCTCCTCCTCCTCCTTTTCTCCTCCTCCTCCTCCTCCTCCTCCTCCTCCCTCCTCCTCCTCCTCCGCCTCTCTCCTCCTCCTCCTCCTCCTGCCTCCTCCTCCCTCCTCCTCCTCCTCCTCCTCCCTCCTCATCCTCTTCGTTTCTTCTTATTTATTCGTTTTTCCTCCTCCTCTTCCTCCCTCCTCCTGTTTCTCCTCCTCCTCCTCCTCCTCCTCCTCCTCCTCCTCCTCCTCCTCCTCCTCATCTCATCCTCATCATCATCATCATCATCATCATCATCATCATCATTCATCATCATCATCATCATCCAGGCATCATCATCATCATCATCATCATCATCATCATCTCATCATCATCATCATCATCACATCATCCTCATCATCATCTCATCATCTCTCATCTCATCATCATCATCATCATCATCACATCATCATCATCATCATCATCATCATCATCTCATCATCATCCATCAACCATCATCATCATCATCATCATCATCTCATCATCATCAGCAGCAGCAGCAGCATCATCATCATCATCATCATCATCATCATCATCATCATCATCATCATCATCATCAGCATCATCATCATCAGCCGCAGCAGCAGCAGCCGCAGCAGCAGCAGCAGCATCAACATTATCATCATCATCATCAGGGCTCCCTCAGGGCCCCTCCCCCAGGGCCGGGGTTCCCTCGCCTCCCTTCTCCCCTCCTCCGCGGGGGGGGCGCGCCATGGAAGTCGACGTTTCCCTCGCGGCCGCAGGCGCACCCGCGGCCAGCGGCCGGCGGCGCCAGGAGCCAGGGGGAGAGGAGCAGGAGGACACGATGGAGGTGGACGCGAGCGTTCAGCTGGCGGCCCAGTTTCGGGCAGCGGTCTGGGCGGTCGACGTGCAAGGAGCATCGGCACGACCGGCCGCCTGCAGGGCCTGCGGCCTGGTCTTCGAAGCAGGCGAGTTGCGCTTGTGCACCTGGGGTAACCGCACGTGCTCACGCTGGATGTGCACTACCTGCCTGAAGGGTCGCCTGCCGCCAGGCGCGGAGCTCCGGCCTCATGGGAGAGGCGATGCGTTGAGCGCCGAGGCGGCGCGAGCGCAGACGGCAGTCCGCGAGGCTACCCGCGGAGCAGGAGCCGCTGAGCCGCCGCTGGAGGGGCGCCGCCGGCGCAGCAGCAGCAACACCAGCCCGTCCAGCATCCAGCTTGGGACGACAACGAGCTACCCGGCCAAGACTGGTGGACAGCCATGCCGTGGGACGACCTGGTAACCACAGGAGCCACTACGTATGTGCAGATCCCAGACAGACTACGCGGCGCCGTCCTCCAGGTGCGCCGGAAGTCTTTGGAAGTCCTTCGGCACGCCCGGGAACGCGGGGAGGCGAAGGATGAATGGAAGTTGTTCTTGGTGCTGGACCCCCTCCTTCTCAGCACCAGCGACGAAACCGCGACCTGCGCAGAGCTGCTCGAGGAGCGCCTTGCGTGGTTCTGGGGGGCTCAGTGGGACGCGCTCTGGGCGTCCGTCCGGCACGGGCGGAAGATCCCAGTGGCGGCCGCCAAGAACAGCGACAAACAAAAGGCGGCGCGGGTACACACCCTGGCAGCAGCTGGAGAAGAAGGCCGGGCTCTGCGAGCCACAGCCAACAGCAGACTGGCCCCACGCACCCCAGACACCTTGAACAAGGTAAAGGCGTGCTTCCGCGAAACAGCTCAGCCAGCGCCGTCGTTGGAGGGCATCCCGCGGGCTCCGCCAGAGATCCTCGAAAGCGTCCAGGAGGAGACAGCGAAACTGCTGCGGAGGCCGCCCCGTCTCTCGGCGCCGGGGCTGCTAGGCTGCCGCTTGG